GAAACAGAAACAAGATCAGTTAGGTTGCAGAAGGAGACTTCTATGTGTTTTTAAAAACACTTATTTTTATTTACGACTATGAGTGTTTTGCCTGCATGCGTGCGTATGTGTGTGTGTGTGTGTGTGTGTGTGTGTGTATCACATCACATGTGTACAGTGTCTCTGGGGACCAAAGGAGTGCATTGGATCCTCCTGGATCTGGAATTACAAATGATTGGGGCAGCTGTGTGGGTTTCAGGAACCCACTGGATCCTCTGCAAGAGCAGTAAGTGGCCTAACCACTGAGCCATCTCTCCAGCCCCATTCTGTGTTTAACTAAAGGTACGTTCTATATAAAATTAGAGGTGTTTCTTGTCTTACCTTCAATTATGGATTTTTTTTATTTTCTGGTCCATATTCACCCATATATTCTGCAACTGTCAACTAAGACACTTAACTCCTGGGGTTGGATTGTTTTTATTTTATTTTTTTCCTACAGACCTTTTGATGCATTGAACCAGCTCCTGCGCCCTTCTGTAAGCCGGGCGTATCAGAGTCATTAGCGATTACCATGTCTTTCTTGATCACCAAGTCTGGCTGCTGTACTAAGGTAGCACTCTTCTCTCTATATATGTGTGATATGGCCTGTGGCCAAGCACTTGTCTTTCCTGTCGTGGACCTTCAAAATGTTTTCCTCACACTGTGCTTCCTGCTCTCATTACATAGCGGGAGCAATCTTTGGGAAGTCCTTCAATGGCTTGGCACTACCTATGTAGTAAGATCTTGCCTGAGCTTCAAGGGCCATTCCCAATGGGGTACTTCCAGAGAAACACACCATGGCTCACGTGAATCTATCAGGAGACTTCTGTCTCCACTGATTACTTCAAAAGGTGGGGCCATGGTAAAGGTGTGCTAAGTCACGATGACGTCAGTGATCACACTCCGGTGATTCTTCCCTCTGAAGAGTGCTGGCTTCCATGTCCTCCTCCTCCTCAGGAGGCGTCAGACCTGGTGGTTGTCTTTCCATTCTGCTCTGAATAACTTTTATCATACGCATCAGTTTCTAAGCAACGTTTGTGTGTGTACAGTTTGTGGCATTTTAAACCTTATAAAAATAATAAACTACATGTATTCTTGGGCAGTTTTCCAAAATCTGAGCTCTTATGTGGTTCTTCATCTAGTTCCAGTTTATCTCATTTTATTGCTTTATAGTATTTTATTCCATGAGTGTAACATAGAATATTTACCCTCTCTGTCTGATGTTATCTGTTTCTTGTTTCTCTTTCTTCTATGTTTATCCCCCCACCCCACCCCTCAAAAGTTTGACCCTCTGTGACCTTACAGATCAAGGTCTTACTTCTGTCCCAACACCGAGTATAATGTGTATTATTAAACTTTACAGTTAGTTTACGGTTAGTTTTTTATGGCTGTTAGTTTTCATAGTCAATGATTTTTGATGCATTTATTTTCCAGAAAAATGAATGTGTTAGTCAGCCATAGTGGCTAGCTTATAGTCTGAGATGCGACTCCTTTCTTGCTTAGCTGACATGGGCTCACTCAGGTTAGCAATTGAGGGATGTTATAGGATTCTTTCCGTTTTTCTAGCTGCTGAAATAAAGAGCTTTTCTTGCCCAATGCTGTCTCCTCCACTTATTGCTTAGCCATGGGATTTCCAAGTCAGCAGTATGGCTGTGTTTCAGAAAGTCAGCTTAAAGAAAACAGACTCCAGTACAGCATGACCCCCACTTCCTAGAATATGCCAAACCCACCATCGGCCTTACAGTCCAGGTTCAGTCTTCATCAGAGTCATGGGAGAGGGCTGGCAATCAGGGGTCTTATGCCCAGACTGGAGACTGTGGAGGGCAGAGATTGGTCTGAGAACATACATTCCTGAGAGGTGTGCAGGCCATGTCGACGCTGGAGTTACTGGGTGTTTTGAGAAGCACTTTGAAGCCTGTATCAGCTGCTTTCCTTCCCATTGCTGTTATGGAGGATAAACTGGTAAAACCAACTTGAGGAAGAAAGGGATTATTTTGGCTTATGGTTCTCGAGGGATAGAGTTAAAAACAGATAAAATTGACTCCACAATGTTTTTATAGAAGTCAGTCTTCTACCTGCACTGCTCCCAGCCACAGCAGACCACCAGAGCTCTGTGCACTGACTGCATTGTTCTGTTGGTTTACCCCAGTGGTACTAGACATAGAAACCTTTATGTATTTCACTGCTTCTAATCTAGAATATGAAAATTGTGTATTGTAAATGGTGGGCATTTGCTTCTCACAATTTTATGGTCTGCCTTCCTTACCTAAAACTATTGCAAATTAAGTTTTTAAAAACTCCTTGTATTAGTTAATATTTGTTTCTATAACAAATGCCCATTGGATAATGTGTGTGTCATAAAAGCCCATGTCTCTCAGTGTTGCCATTACAGCATCTGAACCCAGAGTCTGACGGACGCACTGTTTGCTTTTGAGATAGTGTCTTTGTTGCTGTGTTTGCACATGGGATGGGAGATAGTCAAAAGGGGCCACATACTTCATGAAGCTCTGTGTGTGAAAGAAACCTTTATAACCTCCTCCCCTTCCCTTCATAGTGTTACACCCGGGATTAAGTTTCTCCATGAATTCAGGTAGAAATAACTTCCAAATCACAGTATTCATTAACTGAGTAACAGGTGTCTACTGAGCACTGCCAGGCTCCAGGTCTGGGGACTACGAGGTGAGCAAGACCAAAGAAAACCACTGTCTTTGGGGAACTCACCTTCCAAATGGGTGGTTCTGATGGGGTACAAATAAAGATCTCCAGAGTTGGTCAGAAGAGGGAGAAATGAATCACTCACACATGAGGCTGAAGTAGCCATTTGTCTAGATTTTCAGTGATTGATGGAGGTTCAAGGACAGCTTGGAGGAGGTCTCAGGGTCCGATGCTTTGATGGTTTGGGGTTTTGGTGAGAAACCATTGGCTTAAAGTATTTTCTAGGTAAATAAAACATGCCTCCAGTTTTTGAAGAGCAGACAACAGTGCCTTATCTGCATGATGTCGTAAGCATGTTTTCTCAAGTTCCTTGCTTAAAATAGTCAGAATTGGGAGGATACAATCAAGTCCTCCACATATTTGTTTGTCACTTCTACTAAGTCATAACTGGAATGGGGTAAAGCCTATATAGAACCAGGATTGTTTTAAACACTTCAAAATCCTGTATGACTGTGAGAAGCATTTTTATTCTTCACCATAAACAAAGTTGTTCATTTTGTAACTTAAGTTCAGAAATTAACAAGGCTGTTTTAGGAGCCTGGCATACTCCAGAAAGAATTGTTTTCAAACTCTTTCTGACTCGTCATCCACTTCTAATGAGATAGTGGGGCATCACTGTGAAGAGACCTTTGTTTGCTCCAGTAACAAGGCGTTGGTCACGAAATCCCAAACTCAGTGTCTTCCCTGAAATATCAGAGAACTTCTAAACAGAACTGAACCGAGCTTCAGGACACTCCGTTCTTCCCTCAGAGCGGTGACCTAGTCTGTTTCCAGCTTGGATTTTGGAGCTGGGAGATCAGTTTAGAGATGTTCACCGCAAAGTCCCTGTTTGGTTCCAAGCATTGTGAATTTCCAGAATACAGCCTGTCTCCCGAGTAACAAATTAGCTTGCAAGCTCCTTATATGTTCATATAATGTTGGTGTGGTGTCTAAAAATAGCGGAGCTAGATGAGTGGCATAGCTACTTAGGCGAAACTGAATCAAAACTCTTGCTTTATTTATGTATATTAATTTTCAACTGTAAGACATAGTTTCTATATCTAGACATTGTGGGAAAATGAACCGAAGTTCAAAGCTTGCTGGCGAGGTTACTTCCTTTAAATCCGTAACACACTGCTACCCATTGGGAGTCTCAAATCAATAATACTTTGCTAGTTTTTATGAAGAATCATACTGGAGACTAATTTGCATTGAAATGGTCCCCGAGAATGAATAAGGCTGTAAGCGTCCTTTAATGAGATTTCACTCTCAGTAATGAATATTGAGTATCCTGGCTGACTGAGTCAACTTTAGTGTCACAGGATTTATGATAAACCTGATAATCTGGTGAAAGTTCCCCTCTCATCCCTTTGTTTAGGGTAACAGTTTTGAATGTCTTTCCCGTTGTGATTAGAGACATTTTATAGGAGTTCAAAGAAGAGAGAAGTCTGAGAGTTGAGACTGGGAACTAACTTGTCAGTATAATCAAGACCCAGTGCCCTGGTTCTTCCGCTGACCCTGAAGATGTCCACAGAGCATAACTGGATCCTGGTGGGTGAGATGTGACTAAATCAGGATAATTTATCCCTTAGGGGAACATCATGTCCCTCTGTGTGCTTAAATAAGATCCTCCTGTAAGGAACCTTCTTATCTTTGTGTCTTTCAAACTTGTTCTTGTATCTTAAGGCATGGCTCAGTCTGCTTTGTGAAGCCATTCCTCCTGACCCCTGTAAACATGAATCCTTGCCCACATTCCTTCTGGGAGTGACCCCTACCCTCCTAGCTATTTCACTGCTTCATGGGAAAAGCGGCATCCTGGTAACAGGTGAAGTGTTGGAAGAAGGTTGTATGGGTTACTGGATAGGGACTCTGGCTTTGGTGCATTTCATTTTACCTCTTTCTTTGCAAAGAGGGAAAATTATTTGTGCTTTCTGAGCTCAGTTAGCTTTTCTATAACAAGTATAAAAAACTTCTCCCAATCAGGCTTGATAAAAGACAGTCTATTATAAACCTCAAGATTCTCAATATACAATGCATAGCAGTGAATTTTATTGTTTTTATTTCTGTGTGTAAAGATGCATGATTTAAAGAAACTATTTAGATTGTTTACTTTGTGACTACAAAGCCACTATTTGGCATTTTCTACATGGGTTAATAATAGATTCACATGAACTGCTTTTATGGATTGAATTGCTCTTTTCTATGATGTGGTTTCTCACGAGAATGGTGTTGGCAAGAGAAACATCATGAAATTCTGCCTTAAATAACTTTATTTTAAACCTCTCTAGGTAGCATCCCAGCCCAAAACTTGTGTCGTGAAATCCAAGACTTTGACCCAGATAATGTGATAGGACCTTCCTGTGATTTGGGGCCATATCCTACTTAGATGAACTCGGGACTTCCAGCTTTACCGAGCACTTGGTACTACACGCAGGCTTCTCGCTTGCTTGGTATAGGTTACCATGCCATCTCTGCCTCAAGATGGGGGTAAGTGGACTGGCTAAAACATACTAGAGTGTGTTTAGAGACTATGACATTCAAGCTTCACAAGTGTCCCCGTTCATAGCTTTAAGTCGCTGGAGGTAGCATGCATGTTTCAGGTCACAATGTTTGTATTTTAGTGGCAACTGTTCATTTTAGGTATTTCTTTTTAAAGTTATTCAGGGATCATCTCCCCTGGATCTGAATACAGAATTACCTTATCAATGCACAATGAAAAGGAAAGTCAGAAAAAAGAAGAAGAAGGGAATTATTACAGCGAATGTTGCTGGAACAAAGTTTGAAATTGGTAAGTTTCTTCAGAGTCCTGCACTTGAATAGTTTCTGGTAAGACTGCCTTGGCATTAAAAACAGTGTAGAGTTCTGGAGAGACAACTATTTTTACATAATGGATTTTTAAATTACTTCTATAAAATTTCTGACAGGTTAGAAGAATTCTTTTCTTATGCAGTGGAGGATGATCTACTTTTAAAAGGTGCTAATAGGTTTCTAAATTTTCAGTTCAAAGAAAGAAATACATTCAATTAACTTGGCTTTCTCTTTAGAGAAAAGCCGCAGGTCAGGTGCACAACACTAGATTTGTCTGTAATGTTTAAAAGTACCAGCTATCTGAGCTTTGAAGTACATAATAAAAAAGATTTATATATGTCTGATGATACAAAGATTTGTGAATATAGAGTATATCTTTTCAGTTATCCTTATGTAATCTGAAAGCATCTGGCCTGACTAGTGTGTGGATACACAAAGACCCTAGACTTAAGTAGCCAGCTGAGCTGCCCGCATCACTGCCAGGATCGCTCCTTGTCTTATCACCGGGGGTCATCAGTTAACACCCGAAGCTCAGATGTGTTTGTGTGTCTCCTGTGTAGGTTTCTGTCCCTGTTGCTCTTGTGTTGAGTGATATACATACATACATATACATATGCATATACATATACATATGCATATACATATATATGGCACCCATGCTATCACCGGCTAATTTTTAGTAACAAGGTTTCCCCTACATCAGGGTCTCCATATGGCGACTGCCCAACTCATTCTCTTGAGGGGGATCCTGCTCACATTCCCAAACATCCTCCACTGTGGTTAGCGGTCACAAATCCCATAGCCCAGTAAAATCAAAACTCTAGAGGCTTGTAATTTATCAGTCAGATTTGTGTCAGTAAATTCTCAACCCACAAAACGTCCACACAAAGAACGCAAAACTCAATTGATAAGAAACACAAGCTGTACACCTAGATGGGGCAAACACACCCTACTTATTATTTGATTATCTATCTAAGAAATCCCCAGTACGTATGGCTCTCAGGACTGTGTGGTCTGGCTCCTGTTTCCCTCCAGTATGTATGGCTGTCAGGACTGTGTGGTCTGGCTCCTGTTTCCCTCCAGTATGTATGGCTCTCAGGACTGTGTGGTCCGGCTCCTGTTTCCCTCCAGTACGTATGGCTCTCAGGACTGTGTGGTCTGGCTCCTCTTCCCCTCCTATAGGTTCCATCTTGTCTCCTCCATCTCCCCCTCTGCCCCTCTGTCTCTGTACTCCTCTCTAAAACTCTCAGCCCGCCTTCTTTTTCCACTGTCCAGTCCCAGGCTCTAGCCTTATCTCTCACCTGCCTTCACCTGCTTACAGACAGCAGTCTACACTCTTGTCTGCTGCGAGCCTGGTAGAGGAGGAATCCTGCAGGCTCGTTGCTGTTTCTACTGCTTTCATGGTCTATATGTGTCCAAATTGCACACAGGCAGCAGAACCCTGAAGAGGCCCTCACAGCATGAGAGTCTTGTGTGTGTACTTGATGAAACAAGATATCACTATAACTCCAAGCTTCATTCTGCTGCTCTTAGAAAGCAGCTCTCTGACCTCATTTAAATGGTGTCTTAGGATTTCCATGGCTGTGAAGAGACACCATCACCAAGGCCACTCTTATGAAGGGACTGAATTCTACATCTTGATCCAAAGGTAGGCAGAAGGAGACTCCTTCTGCTAGTAGCCAGGAGGAGGATCTCTTCTACACTGGGAGGAGCCTGAGCATCGATGCCTCAAAGCCCACCCCCACAGTGATGTACTTCCTCTAAGAAGGCTACACTTCTTCCGATTAGACCACACCTCCTAATAGTGCCACTTTCTATGGGCCAAGAATTTTCAAACCACCACAGATGGTCCCAGGGCCTCTTTCGGTATCCCTGTATTCCAGGCATCACTGCATATAGAACCGGTTCTTTCTCTAGCAAACAGCCAAGAGCCCCTAGGATTTGAGGTCAGCTATGTCTGATAATAAGTTTTACACCTGATCTAAGTAATCCATAGAATTCACATCACTTCTCAAATATTAGTGGATCATGGTATAAAGAAACCATTAAATAACGAAACTTGGAAGCACTGACATGTAGATGCACTTTTCTTTTAGGACTCAGAATTCACTGGAACTCAAAGGTAACCCCAACTGTATGACTCATCTTAATTTTAAACTCAAAATCTGTTGAAAGACAAATGCCAGTATACTGACTATAACATCTAGGCTAAAGGGAAGCACATGTGTTTTGTGGTCAAAAGGACACCCCAAGACTAATTTTTTTCAGTGGGATCTCAGGGTTCAGAGCAGTAGAGAGCTAGTTTCCAAGTGCCCCCGTGAGTTCAGCTTAAGTTATTTATACTCTGAGGAGACAGAGCTGACTTGGTGACTGGAGGGTGAAAGGCACAGGGCAGATCTGATAGTCAAGGGTAGTTTTACCTTTCAAATTGTATACCTAGTCCCAGGTTGTCTGAGAGCCCTGAGGGTGAATGTCTCTGTGTAGAATTCTGTCAGCTGTCTATGTGTTTTTACCAAAGTCACTCTCTAAACTGTCTGCAAGTGCTGCGTTTTGGTAAATTGCAGAGGACTATGACTAAGGGTTTTTGGTGCAATCTAATTCAGTTCCCAGCTTCTGTGGAGAATGATTTTGTCCTAGAGAAAAGTGCCATCACTGGTAATGAGCTTATGCCGTAAGGGGTGGGGGTCGTCTACCCCTGGAATGTATATATGTGGATACATGCACGCATGTCTCCACTGTGAATGTCTTTAAGGTGTTCTAGCTCAGGTTCAATCTAATCACTTCCTTTCAGTTCGTTTAGTAATAGATGAGATGGGATTTATGAAAACTCCTGACGAAGATGAGACAAGCAATCTTATCTGGTGTGACGCTGCCGTCCAGCAGGAGAAGATTACAGACCTGCAGAACTACCAGGTGGGGACTGACCATGAGCGGTCACCGTCGGGGAAAGTCACACTGCTTCCGTCACGGTTTTCTTTATTTAGCTTCTTAATCTTTAGTTCTGAGTTCCCTGGACAGCCTGTCTCGTTGCTAGCCGGCTGTGCTGACTCTTTATGTTTACCCCGAGTCATTTCCAAATTCAACCTTTAGCTCAATAGGGAAAAATTCTAAGGTGATGCTTTGAGTTATGTGTACCTTAAGATGAGTGACATGGAGTGGATTGTGCTTGGTGGACAAAGACCTTATAGCATCAGCTCCATGGCTTCTGAGTTTTGCACCTATAGTGCGATACAGACGTGTTTAGGAGAAATGGAAAGCAAATGCAGAAACCTACAAGGGAGGCAAAGCAATTAATGTTTGCTACCTTCCCTCCCTCCCTCCCCTCCCCTTCTTCTCTCCCTTCCTCTCTCCTCCTCCCCTCCCTCTCTCCTTCCTTCCCTCCCCCCTTCCTTCCTCCTTCCCTCTCCCTCCCTTTCCCCCCCTCCCCTCCCCCCCCCACCCCTCCCTCACACCATCCTCTTCACTGCTTAGATTCTAAG